GGGATCACATTTATTAAGCTTTGAATGGCACAGCACAATACTTTAATTCCTGGCAATAAGTTACATACATTTGAAATGTTGAATTGGCAAAAATTGTGTGATAGATATACTTACCACAATGACGTAAAACGAAAACAGGAACTGCTCAGCTTGCTTATATACAAGCCAATACCTCACGGGATTTGTTTCTTTGGTTGTAAAGCACAGCATCATGTGCATCCCTTTTAATTGATCACTGCCATCCAGTCAATGCTGATTTGAAGTAACCCCCCTGGGGGGTTTGGAGGCTAATTGTTTATGGGGTAGAAACCTCAGTCTTTCTCCCTCAGAACTGAGGGTGGTTTTGAACTGCGACCATGCAGATCGTAGTCCAACTTGCAACCACTAGACTACCAGGTCTACATTCAATGGGTCTAATGGCACATTTAAGACTTCTGTTCTACCTCAAAGTGCATTGCATAGTGCTTGAGGACATCCGAGGCGTACTTGGCCTTGATTTACCCTATTCGTAGAGTAGAAGAAGGAGGATCAGGCGTAGGAAGGGGATATGGAAAGTGTGGCTGTGCCACCGTGAGCAAGTGCCTCTTTTGGCACAGACCAGAAGAACTGGCTGGTGCTAGCTGAACATTTTGATCAAAGAGTCTGTAGAAAAATTTTTATCAAAAAGGTGGAGGGAAGCGCAGAAGAGAATTTCAAATTTTCATAGACATTAGACATTGTGGAGCCACAGGGGGTGAATTAACCCTTGAACTGTTGCCCTGTGATACACATTAAACTTTTAACCCAAAATATTCCCTAAATCCATCTTAATAATAAAAATTGTAAAAGTCTCCTCGAACTTTAGAACTCTTTTCAGAACTATTTCTATGAAGTCAAATTGAGAATAGCGACTCAAATCATCAGCTAGGAACCTTAGAGGCCAAACAACATGGAAAAGGAATGTGGGACAATTGGAAAGGGAATGTGGGACAATTGGAAAGGGAATGTGGGACAATTCCAAAAGATGTAATCAATATCACTAAAACTGTACTGTGTAAATCCTTGGATCATTTGTGTGTTTTACTGTACCTTCTCAACAAAAACTAAATAAATATAATTTAAGGGTAAAAAACAAGCAACTATAAACACTTCCCCTTAGAAATACTAAAACACGAAACAAAAACTACAACAGATTCATGGCCACTGGGTTGATTCCCACTCGCAGCCCCTCTGTAAACAGCATAGGGCACTCCTGTGGGTTTCTGAGGCTGTAACTCTTCACACGGGAACAGAAAGCCTAAGGCAATAAAAATTATTAATATCTATAAAATTTTCATGAGGCTTTCTACTCGGGTACAAACTCCCAGTCTTGGCGAGCCACAAGGTATATCCTGTAGGGTCACTGCGTCAGACTGGATTCTCCAGTGAGTGTGAGAGAGAGGAAAAGCTTTCCGGGTCTAAAATACCCTAACCCCAAACACAGATTTGTTTTCTACTGCATTTGAGGGACCTCTTAGGAGACAGTGCTTGGCTTTGGCCAAACAATCGATTTACCTTTGATCCTAAGAGGAACTTGGAAGGAGACCGTGGTGGGACCAATGTAAAATCATAATCTTCACCACTCTTTAAATGAACATCTAAATTATCAATTCCTACTATAGTGTCAACAACATCATCCTATTAGAAAGCATTACATAGGTAACAACTTGCTGAAATGACTTGTCTCCTTAAACTCTTTCTTATATGATAATTATTCTTGGAATTCCTAAGTTGACAATAGTCTAGATGTGTATTACATATGGTTTATAGAGTGACTTGAACTTCGTAGAGAACATGTATTTCTTGGCCGCAGTCACTGCAAGTTAATGGATTGCCTGACTCACACTTGAAGTGCGTTGTGGTAGGCTATATACACTCTTGCTTTGCACAGAATCTCTTTTCAGTTCATGTCCACATATGGATGACTCTTCAACCATTAGTGGAAAATATACCAGCCTTCCCATTTTAAATTGAAATTAAGAAAACAGAGCAAAAGAGCTAGTTTCACTTCTGACACAGGAGACTAGAGAAGAAATCATACTTTTCCTTATTAAGAAAACTACTCCCAGATGTGGGAAAAGGCTCCGTGTTGCTACTGTATTCCCAAAGGAGGAATGGAAATTAAGTGCTTCGTCCCTTAAACCTGAAACCACTACCCTTTCCTATGTGTTATAAGAAACGGAAGCTCATAAAAATCATCTCTTCCTTTTCTTAATTTGAAATTCCATCAATACATACTGCAGCCCTGCTTTAGGATTGGCACTAGGCTAGGAAAAGGAAACTAAGCAAAAAATGTTTTTTTGCATTAAAAATTTTTAAATGAAGAAATCAAGGTAGATTATGTATTAACATATTAATATTTATTTAAATGAGATTATTCATATGAGAATCTTTCTTTAATTATAATTATCTTCAGAAAATGCTCAGTACTTTCCATTCCAATTAAGTGAATTAAATAAAAACATTAATTGAAGTTCTGAATGGAGAAGAAAATATTGGATATTCAGGAAAATGAGGAGAAAAAGATCTATTTTAAGATATAGAAATATGTATTTATGTGTCCTATAGGGCAGGGTAGCATATATAGATACATATATGTATGTAGATTTATGTGTGATAGGGGATTTATATATTATAGGGGCTATGTATGTCCCTATAGAACAGGGTAGAACTGCCCCTGTGGGTTTCTGGGACTATAACTCTTTAGAGGAGTAGAAAGTCCTGCCTTTCTTAAACAGAGCAGCAAGTGGTTTCAAACTGCTGACTTTGCCAGCATGTAACCACTATGTTACACACATATATGTGTGTGTGTGTGCATGTGTGTATTGTTTCATTTTATAGATATATACATGAAAACTCAAATAATAGATAACTTGTCAGATTATATCACTAGTGAATTATAAATCCAGAATTTGGAGCTAGTCTGGTTTGAACCTTTTCAACAAAGTGACAAGATTCTATAAGGATTCTGATTATGGAGGATCAGGCAGGATTTCCTTGCACAGACAACACATGTGTCCCCTTAGTGTATAGGTGTTAGCATCTTGAATTCAGCACTTAGAATTCTAGAATTTCATACTAGAGGAACATTACCTAACTTTTGTAAATTCCTAAAGTGTCAAGAAAAAAATCCAAATTTTAAGAGAAGCTCTGATAAAAGTGGGTCAAAGATTAAAGCAAACTGCAAATTATGATTTATCTTATAAAGAGTTACTATAACCTAGCATATTCACTCTGAAAAAAATCCTACAGGCCTGTATAACATAGTATGGTCAACGTTTCCAAATTATATTTGATTATGCAATACTTTTAGCAAAGAACACAAATTCACTTTTCGATGAACTGTGTAAGATAGAATCATTTGGAAACATATTATTTTTTTCAGAGAATATGAGAAAGAAAGATTATGTGAATTTAACACTTTGGACAAAGAGAGGTCAGACCCTCTTCTTAGTTGCTAGTCATTATGGTAACTATGTCACAAAAGAAAATTTCCATTGCTCCCATGTATCAAGTTCATTCTAACACATTTCCTCTGGCTTAGTGACAAACTGTTTAAACATGTGTTTCTTGTATTTTACAGACATACTTGGCAAGTACAAGACAAAATCGATGCAAACAATGTGGCGTATACAACTGGGAAGCTCAGCTTTCACACTGACTACCCCGCCCTTCATCATCCACCTGGGGTAAGGTGTGAGCCTCAACATATTTTCCACAAAGCAAGCCAAGGACCCATATTTTTATACATTTATATTTTGAGCCTAGAAGACTATATATTCCATAGCTAATGTGTCTTGCAAGGATCTTCTTTTGCTACATAATCCAAACTCACAAAATACTTCTACTTAAATCTTCTATATTCTCACATTCCAAAGAGATCAAAAAAGGGTCATGCATTTTTGAAACTTCTGATTATGAATTAGGTAGGGGATTGCATTTCATATCATCATTTTTTTAAATCATTTTATTGGGGGCTCATACAATTCTTATCACAATCCATGCATACATCCATTGTGTCAAGCACATTTGTACATTTGTTGCCATCATCATTCTCAAAACATTTGCTTTCTACTTCAGCCCTTGATATCAGCTCCTC